TGTATCAGTCTCTCACATCATAGAGAACTTTGTCCAACTCTTGGCAAAGTTGTTTCAGTTAACTGAGGTTTGCAGGAATTAATTTGTGCACAGCTCTCTTTAGGACTCCAGCAGAGCATTTTAGTTAAAGGGGACACGAAACGCTACAAATATCAAGGCTAATTTACATCATGGAAACCTAGGGTTGCCAACTGTGCTGTTTTAGCCAGGACAACCCGTATAATGAGCAAAATTGGTTTGTCCCTTATTCTAACTTAAATGTGGCCTGCATTACCATTACGTGCAATATCACTTTTGACCAACAGATGGCACTCTTAGAAATCCCGAATCTGATTTGACCTATTAGACAAGTGCTCGTGTCCGGTCACTTCTGTCGCTAGTTAGCTAACACAAACTAATATAAGTCTACTAGCTGCAACCAACCAACCACATGACGTCATGTTCAATACTGACAGAAAATGGCGCTAAACATGTTTTTAAAACTTTAAGCACTTATTTCTTAAATCCAGCTTCACAGAGTGTTACAGCAAGGCTCAGAGGTGTAAAGTAGCCTTTATATGTCTTGCAATTCATGTCCCCTTTAACCTGGTCCTTCGCAACGACTGCAAAATAAGTCATCACCCTTCTTGTGTGTGACTTTTTTCTTTCGTGTCCTTTGACTGCGCGTCTGTTTGTTTTCCTTTCCTGTTTCCTTTATGTGTTCGTGTGTTTTCCCCCCATGCTACTTTGGATTCATAAAGGTCAGGTGTTTTGTTCTCTTACCTGAGTTTCAGTCCTGCACTTGGATCCAGCCAGTCTACCTTGACTATAACTCTCTTCCTATGCAAGCAGTAACAGTGTTCTTGATCTTTCCCATTTTATCATAGTTTTTGTTCATTAATGACACAGTGTAATATGTAATGTGTTGCTGTTCATTTAATTGTATTTATCTCACTTCAAGACCTTGTAACCACTATTTTTATTTATATATCTATATATTTCTATTTATAATTTTTTATTGTGTCCTGATATCTCAAACTTTAGAATTCAGCAAGCTTTTACTTTCTTTTTCACATAACTATCGATACCCCACTCTCTCTGTGTGAGCTTTATTGTTGACTTTGCATTGGTATTTGGCTTTTTTATTTATTGATGCAGCTGTTCACCTCATCCAGAAACAATAAGACGGGAAGGTTTGATCATAATATAGCTCTGTCTTCCTAAAAACAAAATGTGGAAAAAAACAAAACGATTATTTGTAATTCTGAATGATACTTTTCAGACTGCTTTCAGGAGCTGTTGGCTCTCCGTCTGCCTCTGGTCTTCTTACCCTGATCAAGTTTATTGTGTTCAGTCAGCTCTGTTATAATGAGGAGATTTCTGCATGGATTTTTTAATGCTTTAGCATAGCATTTAATTTACAAGAAATTTGACAAAATTGATCCATTCCATTATTCTGACTTGTTGGTGGCAAATGTGTTTGGTCTCAGTGTGCAGATGGTGTAGCAAAGAGGAGACAAATGTGTGTATTTAAGCTGCTGAGATTCTGTGTATAGGCACATGCACATGCAACAGTTTCTGTGTGTGGGTGCACTCTGATAGACATCAGGGAGCCAGATAGCTGAAGGCATTAGGAGAGGAGAGGAGGACATTAATCTAAAGAAAATTAAAATCTGGAGCGGTGCATTTAGGATGGAAAGCGACCGCTACTTCTGATAAGAAGTGGTTAAGGAGAGCACAGATTTAGATAAATAGGCAGGAGAGAGAAAAGAAGAAAGGAGGGAAAGCCAGAGAGAAGAAGAACAGGAGGTATAGAAGTGAGGAAAACTAGATTATGTGGAGTGTGCAGAAAAGGCTGGAGGTATGGAAGGAAGGAACAACCCAGAAATGAAAGGAGGGATGGAGTCAGGGACTGAGAGGAATGAGAGGAGGTAAGGTGAAAGCAAAAGAGAACGGGGAACTAGAACGGAGTGTCCAACAGAATCACCAGGACCTGAGCAGGCTGCTGAAATGGCCTCAGTGTGTGTGTGTGTGTGTGTGTGTGTGTGTGTGTGTGTGTGTGTGTGTGTGTGTGTGTGTGTGTGTGTGTGTGTGTGACCAGACCATACTCCAGATAACCTGATGTTATTGATGCTCAGGACCACAGAGCCACTGCTATCTACATGTGCTGCATAACACAGGCACACACACGCACGCACACACACCGACACACACACACAGTGAGTGATAGCAGTGCCACAGAGGTGGCTGTCTGAGGTTAGCAAAGCTGTGCTCAACAGAATGTTGTAGATTTAAGAGTGCGGCAAGTCGACAAGATGTGGAACAGATTTAAGTGCAGCCTGCAGCTTCTGCTGTCCACTGACACACTACACGGCATTTTACATGAAGACGGGGAAAGATATGCCTCTGGCTTTTATAGAACCTTTATTTCATGTTATTTACTGACTAGATATTTTGTTTTTATTTGCAACCAGAAGAAAAGGATGAGAAGATGCTAATTTAGCCACAAATATGAAAATTATTTTTCATATGTATCATGGCTCTCATAATACTGTAAAGTTAATTAAATATAATTACTGGGGCTTTTTATACTATATATTGACACTGAAATTTAAAAAAAGGTGAAAGATCAGTAGCAATAAGATCCAAGCCGACCATACATCAGATACCCAGGAATAATGAGTTGGCCTGTGTAGGGGATCGATGCCACAGATTTCAAAACACAAAAACTCCTCACAATACCACAGACGTCTCCACGTCTATGGTATTGTGAGCATACCTGGAAAAAGAGGTAGGATGAGGACTTGAGCCACAATCCAGAAACATGAAGCATTTGCAAATACTTTAGGAAGATGGTCCCATGTCATGAGCTCCTCCAAGAATGCCTCAGACAGTTGAAGACAGATGAGGAAACATAACAGAGGAAGTGATGGATGACCAAGCTCCTGCATGGAATGTACCATCAGCGGATAGAGGAAGTAGGTGGCATCACAAAATCCTACCTGTGACTAGTAAAGGAGAGCTAAAAGAACATCACAGGGGTCTGAGCATGACAGCACAAAAGCAGGCCCTAAGCACCAGCTCAATACAGGCAGGAGTCTACTCTGTGGGGTTGCAGACTGTGCGTAGGTCCCCCCTGAGGACTATCCAACGCATAGTAGCAGGATGCAAATTGGGACCATGTACACTGAGAGGCACAGACAGCTGAACATGGACTAGTACGGATAGCCTACTCTCACAGCTCAACACACTGTTGAAAGGACTCAAAGATTAAATTCACTGAGCAATTACAGCCTTGCTAACTTCAATGGTATTTGTTAACTAGCTCTCTCCCACTTTGCAGATTCTCCTTGAATATCGCTATTAAAGTTAGCAATTGCCAAATTAACCACCTGTGCTTTATTCATCTTAATTCGGTTACAAATAAACCTTTCAAACTTTTCATTACTTGTATGTCTGTTCTTTGGATCCGGTCTCTGCAAAGCCACGACAGTATCGCTTTTTAGAAGCGGTCATGCCGATAAAGTACCTTTGGATTGAATTTTAAGATAATATTATGATGCAGGAAGTAGTATTCTAATGCTGCTTTCAGAATAGTAAGGAAATAGACAGTCCCACAGTAAACTCAGTTTACAGCACCAGTCCTCTTTCATTTATGTTATTGTGTGTTCTATGCAGTGGTTTAACTGACCCAGCTGGACAGCTTAGTGTCATTTGTGGTTTTAGACGAAGCGATCATTGATTCATGTTCTGATTAGGTAGATTTTACCAGAGCTGGAAAAAGTACAGACATTCCCTACTTAAGTAAAAGTACAGATACTTGTGTTGAAAATACTCCAGTAAAAGTTGAAGTAATGATTCAGTTTCTTTACTCAAGTAAAAGTAAAAAGTGGGCTTTGATCAGTGGTTGTTGATCAGTGGTCATGAGAATTTGCATAATTATGATGAAGGAACTGACCTCCCAGCCCATTGTTCCTTCAGTGGGCTGGTTTCAGTCATTGTGCAAATGTCCTGTTTATAAGACTGAAACCTGCAGTCAGCTGAGACTGAAGACGTCACCTGGATGATGATGAAACGTTTCTCCCAGAAAACGCTACGTCCAGATGAACAGAATCAACTTTTGGAGATTTACTCCTCTGGATGATTGAGCATGCATCAAGACGTTTTTCTCACAAGAATCAGAAGAAAAAAAGGAAAATGAAAAATATTTCTGTTTTCTGTTGCCCACATTGTAGAAGATGTCTTTGTCTCTAAACAGTAAAATGTGTCCAGTCAGGGTTAAAATGGATTCAGCAGTTGGGGGAACCCTAACATTGGCTGTAATGGTTAGGTGTGAGGAAAACAATCACATCTCACAATAATTACAATAATTTCACACACATAGCTTGTTTTTTTTGCTGATGTTTGTTGAGCTGATAGAAACGTTACATGCGAAATTATCTGCCACTTCAAAATATCGCTCCCTTTATGTTCACTCATCTTCTGCAGTTAGCCAGATGCTGAAGTAGCAGGACTGCAACTTATGGACACCTGCAGTCGTTCTTGTGTTGTGCCAAAGAAAAAGAAAGAAAGAAAACACTGGCCCCTGACTATGGCACACGTCATCTCATTTTATGTGCCATCCCCTCCGGTGATCAGCACAGCAACAGGACTGCCTCTGATCGTACTGTTTACGCTCACATTGCTTTGATGTTTGAAGACTTGCAGTGACGTGAAATAATAACACCCCACTAATCTGTTAAACCAAAAGTAACGAGCTCATTTTGAAAATGTAAGGAGTAGAAAGTATAGAACATAGATAGTACAATAACAACGTACTTCGTTACTTCCCATCTCTGGGTTTTGCATACAGGTTTTGGGTGCCAAAATGTGCGATATTAATATCCTGTGTGAGTTAGCCTGCGAGTTGGCAGTCTGCAGATTGAGTTGGGCATTTTGTTGCCTCCAGCAGCAGACCTGAGCATCCTCGCTGCAGCTGTCTGTGGTGAACACAAATGTGCTACGACATTTTGGGAAATTTTATTATTTTTAAGAAAAACATATGTCAGCAATTAAGACAATTATTATTTTACATTCATTACGTGTAGTCCATAACAATTGAGGAGAGTAAAAGTGAGAAATAATAAGCGGAACTGTTGACACTGTAGTCGTTCGCCCGCGGTTGCCTAGAGCGGACCAACTTCCTGTCCTCTCAGATGCAATTCGGGAAAAGACACGAGTGCTCCTGTGATTCTTTCTCTGAGACTCTACCTTTATTTTTACAGGTCAGTATCGTCTTAAAAATACAGTGTATGAGTTTTGTGCCTTGTTCTACTTCGGTGTTTACTGAGAGTTATGTTGACACCGCCGATGTAACCTTAAGTGGGGTTTAGTTGAAAATTACTGAAGCGCGGCACCGCAGCGGTGGTAAAGCCGAGCCGCGCAGCCCCAAGTCTCGCAAGAGTTACCGCGAGTTATCGCGAGAGTTACCGCGAGAGTTCGCCAGCCCGCGGGATGTATTTAAACTTGGTAAACTCCATTTAACAAGCAAATATGTGTGTGTGGTGCTCCAATTTAACTGTAAAGGCCCTGACATCAGATTATTTGAGATTAAAATATCTTATATATACTTTATGGTTCAAGTGATGTGGAAATGTTAAGAATAAGCTAAGAATGAATGTACATTTATGTTGTTACATTGCAAAGTAATACATCCAGGTGTGTTTTGTCTAATCTAGTAAGATTTATGCACTTATATCAGATTTGTGGATAAGCTATTTTGAGTTTGCCCTATATGTGAGAAAGAGCAATAAGACGTTTAAGGCATTATATGCTATCTGCACTGCTGATGTAAATGAGTGAAGGAATAGTGTGGTTAACAGTGTAAACTGGAGAAATGTAATGACCATAGATGCATATATTTGCCAAATGCCTTTTATTTACCTTTTACAGTTATTGAGCATATCTGACAAGTGAAAGCACTGGATGTAAATTATATTTGTTGATCTGAAATAAGAGATGCAATTCGGGAAAAGACACGAGTGCTCCTGTGATTCTTTCTCTGAGACTCTACCTTTATTTTTACAGATTTGTATTCTTTTTGTTATTGTGGTCTTCACATCTGGGACCCGTAACAAACTGTGGGGGCTCGTCCGGGATCTCTCCTCTACAGTCGTCGAGGGCAGATCCAGTGATACCAGAACCACGACACAATCGTGACAAGGCCGTTACTCCAGCCAAGCCAGCGAGTAGGTGTCCAGGTAGTGAGGTGAAAAGGGGACCTTTGCCTCAACGTGGAACCGTACTTCAGTGAGGGGAGTGTGACGCATCCTAGTCACTATCGAGCTGAAGGATAATCAGAAATACATACAACATGTCGACCGAGAGAAAGGAACTCGCCTGGAATATCAGGAGACGCTTGTTTTCACTCCAAGGTCAAGACCTCTTCGAACTCGCTAAGAGCCTCGCATCAGAAAACAAAGACACTACACAGCTCAGTCAGGATGATAAAGAAGGTTGTATGGACTATATCACCTCCTACATACAGTCAAACACACTACTGCAACTTGAAGATGAGGGCATGAGTCATTTGTTGACGCTGAATGATTTGATTAATCTAGTCATCCAGGGAAGTAATCCTGCCGTGCAAACAGCTGGTGAGAATGAAGTACATGCCATGCCCAGTCCACAACCATCCAATACCGTGCTAGACCCACAACCGCCGGAAGATCCACCAGATATATCACCAAACCCCTATGCAAACGCAGAAACACAACAGTTAGAGGAGTTGAGGAAAGCGTATGAGACACTGGGTGAGAGGCTAAGACTATGTGGAACTGTAAGGGCCCAGTCACCTGCTGTAGCACGCCAGCAGAGCAATTTGCAACCACAACCAATCATACAGATTAGCCCTAAGCAGCCAGTCACTGTAAGAGACTTTTCGTACTTACCACGCAGAGAATTCAAAGTTTTTGGGGGACAGATTGGAGACAACAGTTCCGAAATCAGCTACAACAGTCTCACCAAGCAGATTAATGAAGGAGTTAAAGAAGGATTTGTGGAGGCTGAAATTGTTCGAGGTGTGTTGAGAATTGTGAAGCCTGGCACTTTCCGGGACATGTTAATGCTCAAAGATGACCTGTCTCTCCATGAACTTCAGGGCTTTCTGAGGTCTCATCTCGGAGAAAAAGCGACAACTGAAATGCTCCAGGAGTTAATGTGTGCTAGACAAAGTGAACAAGAGACGCCCCAGCAGTTTCTGTATCGCATGATTGGACTTAAACAGAAGCTTATTTTTCAGTCGAAGCAGGCCAACACTGAGATCTCCTATGACCCAAGAACTGTCCAGGAAGTTTTCCTCCACACAATCTATCAAGGCCTGGGGGCTAAGTACGCAGACTTGCGACAAAGACTAAGACCTCTCACCTCAAACAACAATGTCACTGACGAAGAGATTCTTAGTGAGGTCACAAAGATTATCAGTGATGAAAATGAACACCAGCGAAGGTTAGGCCAAGTCGCCCGCCAAAAGAGTGCACAAGCCCAAAGTGCTGGGATCGAAGCAAACGACAAGATAGCCAAAGAACAATCCTCACCAACAATCAAACAACTTGCCGCCCAAGTAGAGACTCTAACTAACATGGTCGCCAGCCTAATTAAACAACAGGAGGCAAAGCCTTGCCAGCTGTCCCCACAACCACCTCCCAACCCGCTTTTCCAAACCCCAGCCAACCCCAACAGACCTCCTCAAAAGAAAGCGTTCCTTTGTCCAAAGTGTACTGAACAGAACTTGCAGGACTGTAGTCATTGCTTTGTATGCTGCGAGTCAGGACACCGAGCGGTGGGATGTTTAAAGCGGACCAAAACTCAGGGAAACTGGAATCGGTCTCTGTCGAGGGACAGCCAGAGGCCGGCGCAGAGTCACAGTCCCAGCCAGTAAGGTCCTCCTCTGCACAGCTTACTACTGAGTGTGCAAGACGTCGCAGTAAGCTAAAAAGAAAGCAGCCAAAGCGAGACCAGAGAAAGCAACAGGTAACCTCTTGCCAAAGTTTAACACCAAACAGCTGTAAAGTCCCCTAGTTGGAAAGAAAAGCCTCCTCAAGTGTTTGATTGGTGGCTATCCAGTGACAGTGTTATTTGATTCTGGCTCACAAGTGAGTTTAGTGGACAGACAGTGGGTTCAGCGGTTTATTCCTAACTATCAGGTGCGACCCCTCCAAGAGCTGTTAAATGATGGACTTGAAGTTTATGCGGTTAACGGACAAGCAGTTCCTTATGATGGGTGGGTTGAACTTACAGTCACTCTCGCTGGTCACGAAGATCCCAATCTTACTGTGCAAGCCCCTTTCCTTGTCAGTAAGCTGTCACTCCCTCAGCCCCTCCTGGGAGCGAACGTGCTTGGCGCCATTATCCAAACACAAGAGTCAGACCGAGAGGCCAGTGCTCTATTGTATAGTCTCCTACGCAAAGCTTTTGGTACAGACGAAGAGCAAGTGATGGCTATGGTAAACTTCATACAAGTACCACAAAGAGCAGAATGTGACCCAGCCACAGTGAGAATTGGGAAGAGCAATGTGACCATTCCTGCTGGAAAAGCAGTCCAAGTGTGGTGCAGAGTACCCCAAAGTTTTGACATTTGTGACCCCCTGGTGCTGTACGAACCCGACGAGAACACTGCCTTGAGACACCTGAGTGTTGGGGAAGGGCTCCTTGAGATCAACAACCCTCAAAGGCCATTTGTTAAGGTCCCCATCTCTAACCACTCCAAACACGAAATAATTCTACCGAAGAGAACAGCCCTGGGTACTATTCAACATGTCGCTAAAGTTATTGAGGCAGACCGACCCACAAACACATCAGAGCTGACTCAACCCACACAGAGCCCCATCACCATAGCTGAGGTAAGCGCAGCCACCCCTGTTTCTGAACTGTCCACTGAGTCATGGCTACCCCCAGTTGATCTTAGCCACCTGAGTCCGGACCAACAGAAGTCAGTTGAAAAGGTGTTAAGGGAAGAGTGTGAGGCGTTCTCTCGTAGCAGCACAGACATAGGCTGTATCCCTTCACTACAAATGGAAATCAGGCTCAAAGATGATACACCAGTCCAGAGGGCCTATGCTTCTATCCCTAAACCCCTCTACAGGGAAGTAAAGGAGTATATTCAAGAGCTGATTGTCAAGGGATGGGTAGTGAAGTCACAGTCGCCGTATGCTGCTCCAGTCATTTGCGTAAGGAAGAAGGATGGGTCTTTACGTTTGTGCATCGATTATCGTCTCTTAAACAACAAGACTGTGCCAGACAGACACCCACTCCCCCGGATCCAGGATCTCACAGACTCGCTAGGTGGTTACAGCTGGTTCTCGATCCTGGATCAGGGTAAAGCTTATCATCAAGGTTTCATCGCAGAAGGCTCAAGGTACCTGACGGCATTCACTACCCCGTGGGGCCTCTATGAATGGGTGAGGATACCCTTTGGACTGTCTAATGCCCCAGCAGCCTTCCAACGGAGCATGGAAGAAATGCTTGACACCCTCAGAGACGAGTGCTGTATCCCTTACCTTGACGACGTGCTTTGTTTTTCCAAGTCGTTTGACGAACATGTCCAAGTGCTACAGAAAGTCCTCCAAGCCCTACAACGGCATGGTGTAAAGCTAAAACCCGAGAAGTGTGAGCTGTTCCGTAAAGAGGTTCGCTATGTCGGCCGATTGGTATCTGCAGATGGAGTAAAGGTGGACCCCAAAGATACCGAGGCAGTACAGGCACTCAAACACAAAAGGCCACAGACCGTCGGAGAAGTCAGGCAGCTTTTGGGATTCCTAAGCTACTATCGGACGTATGTGCAGGACTTCTCCCGCATAGCCAAACCGTTGTATGACTTGCTCCAAGTCCCGTCCAACACACTGCCACCAAAGCCAACTAGAGGCAGAGCAAAACACACTCAGCAGCCTTCTCGAGCCCTGATACAGTGGAACAAAGAACACCAAGAGATCCTTGAGCGCTTGATCGGCATGCTCACTCAGCCACCAGTGTTAGCGTACCCTGATTTCACCCGCCCTTTTATATTGCACACGGACGCATCCCAGAGGGGCCTTGGTGCCGTCCTATATCAGAACCAACAAGGCAAGATGAGAGTGATTGGGTATGGGTCTCGCACGCTCACACCTGCTGAACAAAACTACCACTTGCACAGCGGAAAACTAGAGTTTCTCGCCCTCAAGTGGGCAGTTTGTGACAAGTTTAAGGATTACCTCTACTATGCTCCACATTTCACCATTTTTACAGATAACAATCCCTTGACATATGTCCTCAGCACAGCAAAGCTCAATGCAGTTGGACACCGTTGGGTCGGACAATTGGCGGATTTCCACTTCGACATCAAATATCGGCCGGGAAAAGTAAACATTGATGCAGATGTGCTGTCACGTTGCCCACTTGACATTGAGAGGTTCATGGGAGAGTGCTCAGAGGAACTGTCGGGGGAAGCCGTATGTGCCGTTTGGGAAGGGAGCAGAAGAGCGAAGCAAGGAGACGTAGCATGGATTGCAGCCCTTAACCTCACCGCACCAAACCTACCCATCAAAGAACCCCTACAGTCAATCAGTCATGACCAACTTGTACAATCGCAGAGAGCAGATCCAGCAATCGGAAAAGTCATTGACATGGTAGAGAAGGACATAAGACCAACAGAAGATGACAAGGCTGACACTAACACAAAGAGACTGTTGAGAGAGTGGAGTCGGCTGCACATGGAGAATGACCTTCTCTATAGAAAGACTACAGGACGCAAGCAGCTGGTCCTACCTACTCTCTACAGACAGGTAGCTCTCACACACCTCCACAACAACATGGGCCATGTCGGCGTGGAGAAAGTCTTGAACCTGGCTCGAGAGCGGTTCTATTGGCCTTTCATGAAGAGAGAAATTGAAGAGTACGTCACAAGGAAGTGTCAGTGCATCAAGCAGAAGAAGCCAACGACACACGAGAGAGCACCCATGGGTAGCATAACATCCAGCTCCCCTCTTGAGCTTGTTTGCATTGACTTCCTGCACTTAGAGTCTTGTAAAGGTGGGTTTGAATATATACTGGTTGTTGTAGACCATTTTACCAGGTTCGCACAAGCGTATCCCACCAAGAATAAGGCCGCAAAGACCGCGGCAGACCGCCTCTTCAATGACTACATTCCCAAATTCGGCTACCCCTCCAAGCTCCACCACGACCAGGGTCGCGAGTTCGAGAATCAGTTATTCAAGTCCCTAAGAGAACTCGCAGGCGTTGGTCACTCAAGGACATCCCCCTACCATCCCCAATGCAACCCTACTGAAAGACTGAATCGCACCCTGTTACAGATGCTGCGTACACTGGGAGAAAAGGAGAAACAAAATTGGAAGGAACATCTACCCCATGTTATCCATGCTTACAACTGTACCAAGCATGAATCGACTGGCTTCTCTCCGTACTACCTCTTGTATGGTCGACACCCTCGTCTTCCAGTAGACCTTCTCTTTGGTCTCATGGCAGAAAACAACACTGAGACACCACATGGGTATGCAGAAAGATGGAAAGGGAAGATGACAGAAGCATACCGCATTGCAAATGCAAACAGTCAACAGTCAAGTTCCAAAGGCAAAGCAAACTATGACAAAAGATGCAAAGGAGTAATGCTACAGGCAGGAGACAGAGTACTGGTACGAAACCTGAGTGAAAGGGGGGCCCTGGCAAACTGAGACCCTACTGGGAGCAAACGGTCTACATTGTGAGGGAGCAAGTGGGCGACAACCCCGTCTACAAAGTGAGTCCAGAGGCGGGAGGCCGTCCTGTTCGCACCTTGCACAGGAACTTGTTGTTACAAGTGAATGACTTGCCAGTGGACATTATCCAAAGTCAGGCTACAAGACCACACAAGAGAAACAAGAAGTCCACCGGAAGACCAATGACACCAGAGCCGAACCCTGACACAACTGACTCGGAAGAGGGTGAGCCATTGTACTGGCTTGGTGTACCCAGATACCCTCGAGGGGCCATTCTCCAGTCACACCAGTTCCAAGTGGAGCGCAACGGAGCTCCGGTCCAAGTGAACTAGGACAAGTCTTAAGGGCTCGTGTCCAACCTAGAAAAAAAAGTGCCATGGTTCCGGAAGAGGATCTAATTGTGTTAAGAGACCCAGACCTACCTCAACTAAGTGACGATCAGGAGATGCCTCAGGTTCAAGAAGAAGTTGACGTCACTGAGTCCAGTCCTGATCCAGTAGAGCTTCCTGACCCAGAGCCAGAACCCAGGGTGGAGCCAGGGGATGACATCCATCCAGAGCCACCATCTCATCTTAGGCAGTCCAGCAGGCAGAGACGTCCCACCACATTCTTCACCTACCCATCCTTGGGTCAACCAGCCTATCAGGCTCATCCTGCGGTGAACACCATCAACGTCCAACCTCCGCCATATCCTTCCCTCTACTACCCTCTTCTCTACTCCCAACCCCCCTACCCCTCTCCCCTCACCCTTAGCCCTTACTTACCTGTTTCATATGTTGTTCCTTGCTATTGAATCGAACAGAAATCTCAGGAAGAAGAATGCCTGAAGTCTAAGGACACCTGGGCAAGAGGAATATTCCAGGGACTTCTGTAAAGAGACTTTGTTAGTTTAAAGGTTTTTTTTATAATTCAAGTTAAGTGTCAGGAGCCACTTTTGCTGTTGGGGAGCGTGTGGTGAACACAAATGTGCTACGACATTTTGGGAAATTTTATTATTTTTAAGAAAAACATATGTCAGCAATTAAGACAATTATTATTTTACATTCATTACGTGTAGTCCATAACAATTGAGGAGAGTAAAAGTGAGAAATAATAAGCGGAACTGTTGACACTGTAGTCGTTCGCCCGCGGTTGCCTAGAGCGGACCAACTTCCTGTCCTCTCAGATGCAATTCGGGAAAAGACACGAGTGCTCCTGTGATTCTTTCTCTGAGACTCTACCTTTATTTTTACAGGTCAGTATCGTCTTAAAAATACAGTGTATGAGTTTTGTGCCTTGTTCTACTTCGGTGTTTACTGAGAGTTATGTTGACACCGCCGATGT